CCCACGAACCACGAGATTGTGACCTAAGCGAAAGTCGGACGCTTAACCGACTAAGCCACCCAGGCGCCCCTGTATTATTCATTTTTTTTAATGTTTATTTATTTTTGAGAGAGAAAGAAAGAATGGTGGAGGGGCAGAGAGAGAGAGGGAGACACAGGATCCGAAGCAGGCTCCAGGCTCTGAGCTGTCAGCACAGAGCCCGACGCAGGGCTCTAACCCACGAACCACGAGATCATGACTTGAGCAGGATGCTAAACCAACTGAGCCACTCACGTGCCCCTTATTGTATTATTCTTATGATTTACTATTTTAAATGGTTCAAAGTGAGAAATTAGGGAGTGGAACCATGTTGCAAAGAACATTGCTGCACTTATCATATTGGGCACATGAAACTCTATGTTATATATTAGAAGTAGAATTTCCAGGTCATAAAATACAAGCATCTTTAGCTTTACTAGATATTGCTAAATTCCTCTCCAAAGTGGTTGTACCAGTTTGTATACTTCCATCACATCTTCACACAACAGCATCAGTTCTTGCTTGTTTCTGCCAATCAGACGGGTGTACGAGAGTATCTTACTATTGCTTTTTCTCCCAACATTTTGTTACGAAAAAAATTTAAACATATAGTGAAGTGTACGGGGCACCTAGGTGGCTCAGTGGCTTAAGTGTCTGACTTTGCCTCGGGTTGTGATCTCATAGTTTGTGGGTTTGAGCCCCGTGTCGAGCTCTGTGCTGACAGCTCAGAGCCTGGAGGCTGCTTCAGATCCTGTGTCTCCCTCTCTCTCTCTCTCTCTCTCTGCCCCTCCTCTGCTTGTGCTCTATTTCTCTCTCTCAAAAATAAACATTAAAAAAAATTAGGAGCGCCTGGGTGGCTCAGTCGGTTGAGTGTCCGACTTTGGCTCAGGTCATGATCTCACAGTTGGTGGGTTCGAGGCCCGCGTCAGGCTCTGTGCTGACAGCTCAGACCCTAGGGCCTGCTTTGGATTATGTGTCTCCCTCTCTCTCTGCCCTTCCCAAGCTCCAACTCTGTCTCTCTCTGTTTCTCAAAAATGAATAAACATAAAAAATTCTTTTAATCAAAAACAACATATAGGAAATTTAAAAAATTATGCAGTGAATTCAGTTGGTAGCTTTATGAGCACTTTATCGTATTTGTTTGATCATATATCTGTCCGTTCCTCGATCCATAATTGAATTCATCATATTCTCTTATGTATTTCCAAGTAAATTAAAAACATCTTTAAACGTCACCTTTAAACACTTCAGCATTCCTATCGTTTACAAGAGTTCAACATTTGCTTACAGATTTTAAGGTAAAATGTATACACAGGACTATATACATTCAGTGAGTTCTAACAAACGCATACACCCTTGTGTAACCTAAACCTCTGTAAAAATATAGAACATTACTGTCCCCCCTCAAAAGTTCCCCATTTCCCCTCCAGGTCAACCCCTGCTCCCACTTCTGCCTGGTAACCACCGTTCAGATTTATTTGCCTTGAGAGATTAGTTTTAGATTTAGTTTTCCATGATAGATTAGTATAGGAAGGCACAGTATGGACTCTTTTTGTGGACAATTTCTTCGAGTCGGCATAATGTTTTTGAGATTAATACAGGTTGTTGCTTCTATCACTAGTTTGTTCCTTTTTAATTTTTGTTTTATTATAGTTGTTTAAATGTTTTATTTTATCTTTGAGAGAGAGACAGACAGACAGACACAGCATGAGTGGGGGAGGGGCAGAGAGAGAGGGAAACAGAATCTGAAGCAGGCTCCAGGCCCTGAGCTGTCAGCACAGAGCCCGACGTGGGACTCGAACCCATGAGCGGTGAGATCATGACCTGAGCAGAAGTCGGACGCCCAACCGACTGAACCACCCAGGCGTGCCCTGTTCCTTTTAATTGCTGAATAAAATTCCGTTGTATGAATATGCCACGGTTTGTTTATCCATTTTTCCGGATGATAGACACCTGGTGTCTTTTCAGTTTGGGGCTATTATGAATAAGGCTCCTATGAACATTCTTGTCGAGTTTTTTTGTGGACATATATTTTCATCTCTCTTGGGTTCTCGTAGTTTTAATCTGCGTGTCTCTGATTACTAATGAAATTGAACATATTTTCATATTAGGCATGTTTTATTGTATACATTATCTACTATCTTTAGATGATTTTTCTGTTAAGCTGTTTGTCTTTAATCTGTTTTTTTTTAATATTTTTTATTTATTTCTGAGAGAGAGAGAGGAGAGAGAGAGAGAAACAGCATGAACAGGGGAGGGTCAGAGAGAGAGGAAGACACAGAATCGGAAGCAGGCTCCAGGCTCTGAGCTAGGTGCCAGCACAGAGCCCGACGTGGGGCTCGAACCCACAAACCATGTGATCATGACCTGAGCCGAAGTCGGACGCCCAACTGACTGAGCCAACCAGGCGCCCCTAATCTGTTTTTCTTTAAGAAGCAGCTCTTTTTATTCTGGATGTTTATCATGTATCTCTTTCATGGTGTAAATATCTTGTCTCTTCTCTTTGTTTACGGTGTCTATTCTTATGTAGACGTCTTTATTATTAATACAGTCAAATTTACTCGTTTTTTTCTTTTACAGTTGTACTTTATGCACCTTGTCCAGGACAGTGATCTTCAGTCTAGGGTACATATTTCTGAAGGAAGATGAAGACTTTTTTAAAATATCTTCAGAGAATGTAACTTTGTTTTTAATTTTTGCTTATTTATTTATTAATTATAGTTTATTGTCAAGTTGGTTTCGTATGAAGACTTTTAAAGTGTTTCAGAGTATTGACGGCTTTGAAGATCCTCAATTTTCATATCTATTCTTTTCTAAAAGGGAACTATTTCAGAATGCCTGTGTGGTGGCCTCCTTCTGGGTCTCTTTTTCCACCTTTCCTTTCACAAATGCCTGTATCCCTTTTCCCCAATCTGAATCTGAGTATTGTTCATTGCCCTAAATAACCTCTGGTGACCCAAACAAGGAGGCAAATCAAAATACTGGTGTCAAAAGTGTACATACTGATGGAACTAGAGGGCGTTTTGCTAAGTGAAATAAGTCAGAGAAAGACAAATATATGATTTCACTCAGATGTGGAATTTAAGAAACACAACAGATGAACATGCAGGAAGAAGAGGAAAAATAAGATGAAAACAGAGAGGGAGCCAAACCATAAGAGACTCTTTTTTTTTTTTTTTTAATTTTTTTTTAATGTTTTTATTTATTTCTAGGAGAGAGAGAGAGAGAGAGAGAGAGAGACAGCGAGAGCAGGGGAGGGTCAGAGAGAGAGGGTGTCACAGACTGAAACAGGCTCCAGGTTCTGAGCTGGCAGTCAGCACAGAGCCCGACGCGGGGCTCGAACCCACGAACCGCGAGATCATGACCCAAGCGAAAGTTGGACGCTTAACCGACTAAGCCACCCAGGCGCCCCATAAGAGACTCTTAAATACAGAGAACAAGCTGAGGGCTGCTGGTGGGTGAGGGATGGGCTCAGTGGGTGATTGCCATTGAGGAGGGCACTTGTTGGGAGAGCACTGGGTCTTATATGTGAGTGAGAAATCTCTAAATTACATTCCTGAAATCATTATTACACTCTATGTTAACTAACTTGGATTTAAGTTTAAAAAGAAGAAGAAAAAAATTTTAAGTGTACATACTGTTATTAAATTATAGAACAGGGAAAACACATTCCCAGTGAAAACAATCAGAACAGCGGTCACTTCTGGGGTGGGAATGAAGACTGACTATTTCAAACAAAAGAACACAAGAGTCAATAACATGTATGTTGACGTTTTCAGGAGTGAAGTGTACTAATAATGTCTGAAATGTACTTTAAAATGCATAAAAACATAAGATGGGTTGATGCATGGTATAGGGGTCCAGAGCAGGCTGCCCAAGATGGGCCACATTGGCAGAAAGATTATTTCAAGTGAAAAGTAACCCACACCCAGGAGATGCAGGAAAAACTCTCTGCCTCGGCCACAACTGCCAAATTTACCTTGGAAAGGGGAGCCTGGGGGCGCCTGGGTGGCTCAGTCGGTTAAGCATCCGACTTCGGCTCAGGGCATGATCTCACCGTTCGTGGGTTCGAGCCCCGCATGGGGCTCTGTGCTGACTGCCAGCTCGGAGCCTGGGGCCTGCTTGCGATTCTGTGTCTTCCACTCTCTCTGACCCTCCCCTGCTCTCTCTGTCTCTGTCTCAGAAATAAACAAAAAGCATTAAAAAATTTTTTAAAAAGGCGAGCCCATACCAGGAAGAGAGCTACTAACAGAGACTCCCCTTTGCCTGAGGAACTTACCTGCATCGTAGAATGACCTTGCTTTTCCAAACATCTTTCACCTTCCTGCTAATGGCCTTCTCCTCTTTGTAGCCTCAGCCCCTACCCTTGGCTGAGCGCTCGGAAGCTTCATGTCGCCTCACTATGTTTGGAATGTCCATGCTGAGTGTAGATTTACCATACGTACGCCAACTCAGTTTGGTTTTTCTTCTGTCAGTCTGTCTCATGACAATTTGATTCGAAGTCCACTTAGAAAGACCAGAGGGCAGAGGAAGGTCTTCCTCCCTGACAACGGACAGAGGGACAGGTAGATACAGAAAGAGGTATTAAAAGGAATACAGCAGAATGCTAATTGTAGAATCCAGGTGTCAAGGATATGGACATGTGTGCACAATTCTCTCAATTTCTCTACTTGTTTAAACCCTACTGCTGCTGAGGAAGCCTCCCCTGGGCAAACTCTTTTTGTGCTTCTGAGAGACAGGTCCATGAGAACAAAGCAATGAGAGCTTTGGTAAGAAATACTGAAGGTGGCAGTGCCTTATTTCATCCAGGGAGCAAATTCACGGCAAGACTCAGCCCCATTTATCTTAGAATTAGAATTCAGACATGAGGTGGTTGTTACAAGGAATGCATTAACATGTTTTCATTTCAATTGAAAAGCACAAGTCTGACTTTTTAAAAACAAAATAAGTCTCATTTGACTTTCTTTCTTGTTGATGAATAGGACTGGCTACCCATTAGATTATGCAGTGGGGCATTTTCTAGAAATCGAATAAACTCACATCAGCAGCTCCAAAAACGTTTCACGAAAATATATTTAAGGCACAAGATAAAACAGAAGCATTTATTTTAAAATATTATAGTGGCAAATATTCATTCACATTAATAGAATTTTTTATTTTTCCAAGCCTTTCTGAGTAAATCAGGTTAAATAAGTTACCCCTCAATGAAAAAGTAAAGAAGTATAGTTACTGGTCATCTAAAAAGCCTTTCTGGTATCAGAAGTTGAGAAAGTGAATGAGTCTAGTGGATGCATAAGAAATCCTTTTGCCAGTAGGTGGTTTCCAATCTTTTGCTTTCGACAAATTTGAAGGAAACTCTAATCAGGTAGCCAGATAATAGATCATAAAATGACATTTCTGATAGATCACCATGTGAGTCTTGGCAAAGAACTCAGAGCTCAGATAACTAAATGATAATGTTCTTACAATTCTATTTGTATTTTCATATTCTCATATGTGTGAACAAATTTCTCGGTGCGCATATCTATACAGATAAAAACAGAAATAGAATTGAACCTGAACTCTCATTCCAGCAACAGGTTGTACTCAGCCCTCCATGCATGGGAGGGGGAAAATATCCAGCTCATTCAAGGGTGCATTTCTGATAAAATTTGCCTTTTTACGTTTTCCATTCGTTTATCAAAATGTATAAAATATTTGTGTTGTGAGCAATTTTATGCCAATAATGTTATGAATAACTCAATCTAGAGAACTTTTTTAACAGCTAAAAATATGTTGATAGGACATTTCCTTAAAAAATGTTTTGTATTCATAGTTCTGCTGCAAAGTCATATGACAGAGTGATCAATAAAAGACTTGAAAGCATAAAAATATATCACGTTAAGATAAAATTCTATGGTGGAAGTGGAATGGATAAATGAATTAAAGACAAAAATAGATATAAACTTTCTGGCACCTAAAGAAGAGCTTTTTCCTTTAATTTTCAAGTGGATGACAGTGGGTATCAAATCACCACGGTATTTAAAATTCATTTAAGCTAATGATAGATTTGGGTTTTATGCCAACATTTAGAATACACTGGAGGGGCACCCGGCTGGCTCAGTGGGTGGAGTGTGTGGCTCTTGATCTTGGATATGTGAGTTCAAGCCCCATGTTGGGTGTGGAGATTACTGGGGAAAAAAAAAAAAGAATACTTACAATGTGCTAGAAATTATATGTTTTGTCATTATTTTAACTTATCATGAAAATGTTTTTACGTCACATTAAACATGTGAAAGTGGATCCATACATTTTCCAAACTTTTTTAGGGATATAAGAGCAAGAAGCATGAACACAACTAGTCTAAGGAATCATTTCCTATCCTATGATGAAATTGTACTCTCTTGTATTTTCTTTAAAAATGTTAAAGTTTTGCCTTTCACATTTCTATCTGTAACCAACCTGGAATTGATTTCCCCCAAACATAGCCCAGCTAGACACAGCACCAGAATCAGGTGGAGACTGCGGGGAAGCTTTAAGTTTCCCCCAAACATAACCTTGCTTTACTGACTCTGAATCACGGCCGTGGGGAGTGTCCAAGAATCAGTAGCAACAGAAAGCTGTTCAGGTGATTATGGCTCACCCTCAGGTTTGGGAGCCACTGCCTTATGTGACAGAGGCCAAATGATTGAATGTGCCCTGCAAGGTGTTATGATCCAGGTTGTCCTCTCCCCCAAATCTGCGCTGAAGTCCCAAACCACAGTACCTCCGAATGTGGCTGTAGCTGCAGATAAGGCCTTTGAGGAGGTAATTAAGTTAAAATGAGGTGATGAGGGTATGCCCTAATCCAATATGACAGATGCCTTTATCAAGGAGAGGAGATTAGGCTACAGACACAAGAGGGAAGACCATGTCAATTTAGACACAGAGAGAAGACAGCCATCTGCAAGCCGACAGGACGGACCTTAGAAGCAAGTGAACCTGCCAACACCTTGATCTCAGCCGTGCAGCCTCCAGAACCGTGAGAAAATACATTTCCGTCGTGTAGGCCACCCGGTCTGTGGCATTTGTTATGGCGGCCCAAGTAGACTAACACAAGGATTTCATCTGGGTCCCGACTACCTCTCTAGAGCCTCAGCTCTCTGACAGGCTCCATCTGTCCCCACATCACGGCCTGCCCACCCCTCCACCTTACTAGGTTTGAGACCTTGGGCTGCCTAACCTTTCTGTCCCCAGTTTTCTCACCTGTAAAATGGGGCTAATAGCATTACCTTCCTCGAGCTGCATGATGATTACATGGGATCATCTATGTAATGCATTCAACACATGTAAACATAAAAAACACTCAATAAATGCTAGCAGTGCAGCCTGGGCATAAGGTATTAACTGCCACTCTCCAGCTACATGCCATTTTGTTCCACTTCCATGAGTTAGCACATGCTGACGCGTCTGATTAGAACGACTTTCTCCCACTGTGTCACCTAGCTAACTCTTGGTTGTCCTTCAAGCCTGAAGTCCCATGTGGAGCCAGCTCTGAACCGCTCTCCTCCATCTGAAGCTCTGGATTCCCACAGCTCCCTGTGCTTGCCTCTGCCGAGTGACAAGCCTCTGCAGGGTTTAAGGTGGAGGAGTGACCTGATCTGACTCGAGTACCTACCATATGCCAAGGTTCGGTGTCAAGACAGGAATAAAAAGAACAAAGAACGCTTAGCTTATAGGGTTACTGAGAGGATTATGAGAGACAAAATATGCCAAGCACTTAAGACAGTGTCTGGCATATGGCAAACACTCAGTAAATGCTAACAACTATTATCTATGTATATTCAGGACACTTCCTTATATCCGGTGACATTGGTGGCCTTTGGTTCATAGTCTTCCTCCGTAAACACAAATCCCACGACCATCCTGGGCGACGACCCCTCCAACATAGTAGCCTCTCTCTTCTCGACCTCAACTCCAGTAGCTTTTACCTCCACCCTACTCCAGACACGCCATGACAACAACCTGACCTTGAAATTGTTGTTGGGTTTTTTCAGACTGAATACACCGTGTATAAGCACAGGAATAGATTTGTATACAGAAAGCCCAGGTGGAGTTTTCCATTAGCTTAGGGTGAGAGAGCGCTTTTCTGTCCCTCACAAACAGGCAACAAGTTGCCTCTGGAGGCTGAGTCCTGGAAGATAAGGCAAAGGAAGACGGGGAGGGCTGGCTGGAGATGCACGTTTTGCGGCCCGAGGTAAGGGCCGACGGCACCTCTATGACTGCTCAAGGAGAGGAGATTACAGCTGCAGTCCTTCTAGCAGCAAGGAGGGAGTGACGGGCTAGGGGCCCAGTCACCGGAGCAAAAGTCAGACGACTGCTGATAGACGCCGCCGTTCAGCACCACTGACCTTCACAGAGGCTGCTCTGTGATGAGTCAAGGGTAATCCTAGGCAGGTGTGTACCCTTTCCTGCCGGAAGAAGGTACATAAAACTGATGGCTCTGAGGGTAATGCCTGCAAGTCAGGGCTCACCCCACCTTCCTTCACTCATAACAACTCTGTTCTTTAGTTGGTTGGGCTTTCACTTACAACGGCCTTGGCCAAAACCTGTGACGGTGCTAAACCTTGGCAGTTCCTCTCGGCAGATAACTAGACATTTTACTTTCCACAGAATCCAGCTGCCATTGAGGTGGGTGGTGACCATCCCCAAAATTTGTCTCTGCTTATCTGCATCTCATCGCCTTTAGCCTCTAAGAATGCAACCTTTTTCCTATTCAAGGCTAATGCCACCACTCATGCTTGATTCCGTCTTCTTTTCATTTCTGCTGAGCGTTTATGCGATCAATTTTCCTTTCTCCATAGTAAATTGCTGTTTGGGATATTTGGCAATGGTTGAACGTTGGCAGTTTCATATGGTTCATGCGAATATACTTTTGTTCTTTCCTGCTCTAAATATTCCTTCTTCTCGACCAAAAATAATTACAACAAAACATCCTTGTACAGATAAGGGTAACCTCTTTATAGATTGTGTTTTTCAATTTTTTTAAAAAAAATTTAAAAACCCACAATGGCAGAGAGAGAGGGACACACAGAATCGGAAACAGGCTCCAGGCCCTGAGCTGTCAGCACAGAGCCCGACACAGGGCTCGAACTCAAGAGCTGTGACGTCGTGACCTGAGCCGAAGTCAGCGCTCAGCCGACTGAGCCACGCAGATGCCCCAATGTTTATTTATTTTTGACAGAGAGGGAGGATGAGCACAAGTGAGGAGAGGCAGAGAGAGTCTGAAGTGGGGCTGAAACTCATGAACTGTGAGATCCTGACCTGAGCAGTAGTCAGACATTTAAACCAACAGAGCCAGCCAGGTGCCCCTAGACTGTTTCCCTAACTTCACACTTCTATGTGTCCCTGTGTATAAAACCTAAACACCATAATCCAGGTGTATCTGCCTTTGCTATTCACATCTCCCAACTGACAATTCACTTAACAAGTATTTACCAAGGGGCTGGCGTGCTTATGAAATTTGTATTCAGTCATTCAACAAATATCTTCTGAGTACCTTACTGTGCCAGACACTGGTCCAAGCACTGGGGGGATAGGTCAGTGCACAAAACAGAGCTTCCTGTCCACTTGGAGCTTATAGTGTAGTAGGCATTGGAAGGAGGAGACATACAGTAAATAAACACAATAAAGAAAATAACCATATAGTATGTTAGAAAGTGGTAGATGCCATGGAGCAGGGGGAAGTAGAGCAGAGAAGGGAGAATGAGAGTGCTATGAAGGAAGTTGTCATTTCACATCTGGTGGTCATGGCAGGCCTTATTGAGAAGGTGACAATGAAGTAAAGACTTGAAGGAGGTGAAGGACAAGCCATGGAGATATCTGGGGGAACTGTTCCAGGCAGAGTGAACAAGTGCAAAGGCCCTGAGGCAGGACAACTAACGGAATAAGGGGGAAAAACAGTAGGAAATGAAGACATAAAGATACGAAGGACGCTGATTGTGTAGAGCCCTTGTATTAATTATCTACTGTTGGGTAACAAAATCACTCTAAAATTTAGCTATTGGGGCGCCTGGGTGGCTCGGTTGGTTAAGTGTCCAACTCTTGTTTTCAGCTCAGGTCATGATTCCATAGTTTATGAGATCAAGCCCCACATTGGGCTCTGCGCTCACAGCACAGAGCCTGCTTGGGATAATCTATCTCCCTTTCTCTCTGCCCCTCCCCTACCTCTCAAAATAAATAAACTAACTTAAACATTTTAGCTATTTAAGGGGCATCTGGCTGGCTCACACAGTGGAAGATGCAACTTTTGATCTTGGGATCATGAATTTGAGCTCCACGCTGGGTTTGGAGATTACTTAAAAAAATACAAACAAACAAATAAAATTTAGCTGTATAAAAGAGCAATACATAGGAACTGAGTGAGGAGTGGTTGGCTGGGTGGTTCTGACTTTGGGTTTTGAGGGGTTGCAGTCATCTGAAGCGTGGGCCTGAAGAATCCTCTTCTGAAGTTACTCACTCATGTGGTTGACAAGTTGGTGCTTGTTGGTGCGGAGGGGAGGAGGTGATGTGAAGAAGGGCAGGACTCGGTTCTTTCCTGTGGGGGCTTCTCCACATGCTGTTTGAGGATCCTCATGACATAACAGTTGGCTTCCGACAGAGCAACAAATCCAAGACAGAGCAAGGCAGAAATCACAATACCTTTTATAACCTAGGCTTTTAAGTCACATGCCATCACTTCCACGGTATTCTATTAGTTTACACAAGTTAACCCCAGTTCATCGGAGAAGACAACTAGCCAAGGGCTCGTGAAAAAAAAGGAGGTAAAGATCATTAGAGACTGTCTTGGTGACTGGCTACAACAGCCTTTGTAGGCCACTACACATCAGCGGCTTTTCCTCTGAGTGAAATGGAGAGCCACTGATGGGATTCGAGCAGGTGAATGGCAATGATCTGACTTATTAGGGCAACTCTGGCCGCTGTGTGAATCGACTGCAGGGGGGCAAGGAGGTGAGCTGGGAGGCCAGTGAGGGAGCTAAAGTGCAGGAGAGACATTAGGGTCATAGCGCTGTTGATGAGAATTGGTGATATTCTGGATATATTTTGAAAATGGAGATGGACAAGATTTGCTGACGCATAGGAGATAGGATAAGAGAGGTGGGTGGATTAAAGATGACTCCAAGAGTTTCGGCGGAATTGCAGAAATGAGTTAGACATAGCTCTGACCATAAATGAAATTACAATATAGGTGACTTAACATATGTACACCAGTAGCTATACTGCACAGCAGAAAGCGCTGGGTTCCACAACAAAGGCACAAATTCAAGTGCCAAGTGAGATGAAAAAGTTCTGGAGATGGATGTGGAAGGTATTCAATGCACTGAACTATATACATTTAAAAATGGCTAAAATGGGGGGGGAGTGGCTGTGTGGCTCAGTTGGTTAAGCGTCAGACTCTTGATCTCAGCTCAGGTCTTGATTTCAGGGTTGTGAGTTCTAGCCCTGCGTTGGGCTGTGCGCTGGGCATGATGCCTGCTATAAAACATGGTTAAAATGGTAAGTTTTATGTTATATGCTTTTAAAAAATAATTTCTATGCCCTACATGGGGCTAGAACTCACAACCCCGAGATCAAGTTGCATGCTGCACTGCCTGAGCCAGCCAGGCGCCCCTATGTTATATACATTTAATTACAAGTTTTAAAAGGTGCTAATGAAACCAAAAACAAAAACTCAAGCGCTAAGACAGTTCAGAGGAGGAAGAAGAGATGACCTTCCACTAAAGGCATCACAGAAGGCTCAGAGTAAGGGCAATCTTTCTACCTACGTAGAGGGAGCGGTTTGAGTAAATGAACGGAAAGCAGGAAAGCTAGGGACAGACAGGGGCACACGGAGTGGTTTTGTTACAAGCTAGGCAGTGTGCCCTAAAACTCAGTAGGTGACTGATATCGGCCTTCTGTGACCTTCTCAAGGGACCTCAAGGAAGAATCAAAAACAGGAAAAACCGGAAAACCAATTAAGCAGAGGAAGGCAAGCAGGCAATATTTTTAAACAATCAGATATGACAGAAACATAATGTATTAAGAGGACTTAAGGCTATTTCTTGTGTCTATGTGGAAACAATAAAGCTTAACCTTCTTTAATCCTTAATTTTTACAACTGTAACAAATGATCCTTTTTGATGTGCAACTATTTGAACACCTGCTTGCAAGCAAGCATACCCTTTCCCTTTTTACGTATATAATCCCTGGTAGCTAACAAGCTTCAGAGCAACTCTTTTAAAAAAATTTTTTTTTAAATATTTACTTTTTTCTTTTTCTTTTTTTTAAAGGAAATTTTTTTAATGTTTTATTTATTTCTAGGAGAGAGAGAGAGAGAGAGAGAGAGAGACAGCGTGAGCAGGGGAGGGTCAGAGAGAGAGGGAGACACAGACCGAAACAGGCTCTGGGCTCTGAGCTGGCAGTCAGCACAGAGCCCGACGCGGGGCTCGAACCCACGAACCTCGAGATCATGACCTAAGCGAAAGTCGGACGCTTAACCGACTAAGCCACCCAGGTGCCCCTAAATATTTATTTTTGAGAGAGAGAGAGACAGAGTGCAAGCAGGGGAGGGGCAGAGAGAGAGAAAGAGAGAGAGAGAGATAGAGACAGAGCACAAGCAGGGGAGGGGCGGAGAGAGAGGGAGACACAGAATCTAAAGCAGGCACCAGGCTCTGAGCCGTCAGCACAGAGCCCGATGCGGGGCTCGAACCCATGAACTGAGAAATCATGACGTGAGCTGAAGTCCTGAAGCTTAAGTGACCAAGTCACCCAGGTGCCCCAGGAACAGTTCTTCATAGCAATCTGAAAGACTGGTTTCCCATGTTACAGTCCTCAGGAAGACAACAAATAAAGCATTTACTAACCTACTTTGGGGTTGGTTTTCTTTCAGTCCATAGTAAGGTGTCCAAGGGGAGAGTGAACATCAAGCTAAGGAGCTGTAACGTTGTTTGGGAATGAGTGTTGAGGAGTTTAAGTCAGATGGCCTTGTGCAGGCCATACTGCAGGCGACCAGTCCTAGGGGTAGAGAGAGGCCAGTTAGGAGACTGGGTAATGGTCAGACACACCTGTAATCACAAGATCTGGGTTTGAATCACTGTTCCAGCTCCCACACACACTAGCAGTGTGACTTTGGGCGCACCACCTAAACTCTCTAAACCTCAGTGTTTTCATCTGTGAAATGGAAATAACAGTAGTTACATATTTCATAAGACTGCTGTGAGAATTGAGATAACTAGGGTGCCTGGGTGGCTCAGATGGTTAAGCGTCAGACTCTTTCTTGATTTCCACTCAGGACATGATCTCACAGTTTGTGAATTCCAGTCCGGCAACGGGCTCTGTGCTGACTGCAGAGTCTGCTAGGGATTCTGTCTCCCTCTCTGTTTCAAGGATAAGTAAACATTTAAACAAATAAATGAGATAATTATTTGCTTGCAATTGCTATTATGCAATAAGTCAGATGTGAGTTCCCAGAGCTATGACAGTAAGAGAGGATCAGAAGGGCTAATACTTAGCAAAAGCCTAACAACCAAAAAGAAGTCTCTCCTCTCTTCTCCCTCCAAGCTAACTTCTCAAGAAGGGCAGCACGACTTGAGGATGCAGGTGATAATTATAATCTTCCTCTTGCAATGAAACACTCTCATTCAGAACCTCTCATCTCACTATGGTAACATATAAGGAAGCCCAAGTTTGTGAAACAAAAAATCGTTTGTCTATTTGACACTCTCACAGCATATCTGAAATAAATCCAGGATAGATCAGCATTTTATGTACCAGATTTCCTGTTTCCCTGCCTTCTGCTTCTTCCCTATTCATTTTCTCTTCCTTCATCTCCCAATCCCCTTCCTGTTCCGACTGAGTGTCTTCATTTCTTTTTCCTTTTACCCTTCCCATCTAGGACACAGACCATATTCCTAATAGCAGTTCCCTCATTTATTAGCCGTGTGCTAGTGGAGGTAGTTAATCCTCTCTGGGCCTCAATTTCCTCCGTAAAATGGGTTTAATAAGAGAGTGCCTATCTTACAAGGTTGTCAAAAATCACAACAAAGAACACGTCACAAGCCCATCACAGTGCCTGGTCTATAGTCAGAACTCAACTCGTTCGCTCTCTTTTCATTCTTTTACCCCTACTTCCCTGTTGCTCACCGTTAAAGCCCTGCAGTTAAAGCCGTGGGAAAAAACACCCAGAGGCTAAAGAGGTTGAAATGCTTGAGCTGGGGGCGGGGACTGCGAGGTGCCCACTGCGCAGGCGCGCCCGACAGGTCAGGTTCGAGCTTCCAGCTGGGGGGGTGGGGGTGGGGGTTGGGGGGGGGAAGAGGGCTTCGATTGTCCTAGCAGCCCCGCTCCGACCCAGGGAAGTGGCGGGACCTTGGCTGCGCCCCGGGAGGGCTCGGCACTGTTCGAGGGACGTCGGGGCCCGAAGGGTATGTTCGAAAATGGCGGAGGGCGAAGAAGGAGGGGCCTTGCAGGGCGGGGGACTGGCCTCCCGGCGGGGGCAGTAAAAAAAAAGCCTGCGGGCGAGCGGGGGGTGGGGGCGGTGGCGCGGGCGGGGCTGTGAGGCCGTCGGACCGCGGCGGGTGTCTCTCTGAGGCCCTGTCGCGGACGCACCTGGGGTTCCCCGACTCGGGGCTCCTCCGGGAGGTGGGCGGGCTGGTGGGTGCGCCTGAGGGAGACGAAGGGACTTCCGTTTCCTTCTAGGCTGGGGCCCGGCCGCCGAGCGGAGTTGGCATTTCCAGATTGGGGCTTGGGCCGCCCCTCCTCCAGGACCCTCCCCTCCGGACCGCGCTGGGCGCCGCGAGCGATCCGGGCTGGCTCTCCTGGCGCGGTGGGTACTGCCCGTTCGGGCTTCTTCCTCCTCCTCCTCCTCCTCCCCTCCCCTCCCCGCGGGCCCCGCGCTGCGGGGGAGGGCGGGAAAGCCGCCCGGCGCGGCGCGGGTGGCCCAGCCGCGGCTCCTTGCCCAGCTTCCCGGGAGCGCCGAAGGAAGGCGTGGGTGGGTGCGTGGCTTCGGGCCGGCCGGTGCCCTCCTAAACCCCGTGACCCCTAAGGTAAATCGAGTCAAAGAACTTTTTTTTTTTTTTTAATGAGCTAAGGGACCGCCCCCACCCCACCCCCGAACCTGATGCGGGTGGCAGGTATGTAGCTGGGTGGAGTGCGCCTGGCGGGGGCTCGTAAAGAATAGGTATCTGAGAGCTTCCGGGAGAGGAAATTAGCTGGTAATTCTTTCCAATCTTTGCTGCCCTAGTCACCTCCCCAGCATATTCTGTGAGTACACCAAAATTCAGTCTAACTTTCAGTTTCATTATTTTAACTCCTTAATACACTTAATTGTTTTCGAGAGGAGGGGGAGTGGTTATTGCCGAAAATAAAACAGCCCCCTCCGCCTCCCAAAAAAGAAAAATGTTAATCACAGCTCTGTAAAAACCTGCCTATCAGATTTTAGTAATCTACTACTTTGCTTTCAAATCGAATTATGTCACTAGGTCTGTCCCACTATGCCTTGGATGGCTAATGACGCATAGAAATGTACTCTTGTAGGACTGGGGGTTGTGCTATAGTGTTTCTTCTCTTTTTTTTTACTTCACATTTCTTAAAACCAGTTCAAGAGAACTGTTACAGACGGCCATCTTAGAACTATAACATTTTAGAGTTGGAAGGGATCTTAGTCCAACACTATTATTATTATTATACAAAAGGAGAAAGTAAGGCACAGGAAGATTTCATGGCTTGTCTAAGGCTACTCAGCTACTTAGATTGGAACCCAGGTTGTCTGGCTTCCTTGCGCCCCCCCCCCCCCTTTCTGCGCAGCTGCTTCACAGAGCCTCCAAGCAAGAAAATTTAAGTATTCAGTTCATCGCACCCTCCTGAAGCGTGTACCGCTTCGTACCGTACAACTGTGCTGTCACATTCGATGTATGTATTTAACATGTTTATGAAGCCGATGCTTGAGATATTATTTCCCCACCATTCAAGAAGTGGCAGCAGTTTGGGTTAAAAAGATTTATACACACGTGCATCTCCATATTTGAATGTGCTCTGATAACTTTTTGAAGGATACACGAGAAAAATATATATTTTCGTTACATGTTTGTTTATTTTTGAGATAGAGACAGAGCACGAGCTGGGGAGGGGCAGAGAGAGAGGGAGACACAGAATTCGAAGCAGGCTCCAAGCTCTGAGCTGTGAGCACAGAGCCCTACGCGGAGCTCAAACGCACAAACTGTAAGATCGGGACCTGAGCCGAAGTCAGCCGCTTAACAGGCCGAGCCACCCAGGCGCCGCACGAGAAAGATGTTAACAGTGGCTACTTAATGGGGGATGGGGAGGGGTGGGACGCTTTTTAATTTGCACCTCACATGTGGCCTAATGTCCTGTTTGGATTTCTTAGCAGAAACGAGTGTTTATTATGTAATTAGAAACAATTTTTAATTTTTTTTTAAAATTTTAATTTATTTCTAGGAGAGAGAGAGTGTGAACAAGGGTGGGTCAGAGAGAGAGGGAGACACAGACTCTGAAACAGGCTCCAGGCTCTGAGCTGGCAGTCAGCACACAGCCCGACGCGGGGCTCGAACCCACGAACCGCGAGATCATGACCTAAGCGAAAGTCGGACGCTTAACCGACTAAGCCACCCAGGCGCCCCTAGAAACAATTTTTAAAATGCACACACACCTATATCAATAAAAATAAGTATTCACCAATCATATGTATATGGATATATTTATATACATAAATGTAATTTTGTATCCATGGTTTGTATTGTAAAATCCACTGTGGTTCCTGTCAGTCCTACTGGCAAAGCAGGCCCGATTATCAGATGCTCACATTTCTTTACCTGTTTTCTTCTATTGCTCCTAATATAAGATGATAAAAAGAATTTATATATTTGTAGGAAATTTGCTAAGCTTTTGAATAGCGAATAATATGGCAAACTAACATTCAAGATATGGTGTTTGAGGCAATGAAAAAATGTGAATATAGAATCTTACGGATAAGAAATCATTTTAAAAAATTGGAAGGATCCCTGGTGATTCATAGTTCAGCTCTTTTTATGAATAGGTTAACTAGGACTCAACGAAAAAGTGCATTGCCCAAGATTAAGTATCTGATTATTGACAGAGCTGGGGCTACGGTCTAGGTTCTAGTCCAGAGCCCCTTGTGCTATATTTGGAACTTTACTGCTTTCTAGTGCGTTTGGTGACTCGAACTAGGCAGAAAAAGTAATGCCGACTAAAGCTTAGGCCTATTTTCAATAGACAGGAATTATTGTAATCGATGTACAAATGTGTACAGTGCCTGAAACATTCTACTAACATGTTCCCCATATATTTGGTTGGAAACAATCTGTTTAATAAATCCTTTATATTGTAAATGCTTACAGACTCCAAATATGAAATTATGATATTCTACTGGTTTTGTTCTAATATTTAAAAGTCTGGTAGCTAGTACTAATGTGAGGGGGGTGGAAAGGTTATGCTTTATAAAATAAACATTTATCGAGCACCTACTATATGCCAGGGGTTGCGCTACGTGATGGTTCCAAAGACAAATATGGCAAAATAGATGTCCTTGTTCTTTTGAGGCTGGAAGATTATCATGAGCTGTCCACTCTCTAACTTTATCTCTGTGATCTAATCTCATAATAGTATTAGAAGATGTAATCTGTAGCACTGTTTAAGGTCGTTGTGAGTAGATTTGAGGAGACAAAAACAGTATTGGTAAAATAAATTGATAATTGAATAAGGACTCTTTTTCTTTTACTTTTTTTATTTTAAGGGGAAGAAAGGCATGTATTGCTCACAGAATTTAAAGTCCCAGGCTTCCAGCTCTTTCGCAGTTCTTCCAGTGCAGTTACTAGTTAGCAAATATTTTTGTGTCTTAGAGGTCATGCGGTACAGTGAGAAGGGCCCTGGTTTGATGCCTGACTTCTTGACTTTGTTTCCAGTTAGCTGTGGGATTAGGAGCAAGTCACTTCTACATACTTCAGTGCCTACATTTTCCTATTTTCTTCATAACTTTTTATGAATTAAATACCCCATTTATTTATTTATTTATTTTTTATTTATTTCTAGGAGAGAGAGAGAGACAGCGTGAACAGGGGAGGGTCAGAGAGAGAGGGAGTCACAGACTGAAACAGGCTCCAGGCTCTGAGCTGGCAGTCAGCACATAGCCCGACGCGGGGCTCGAACCCACGAACCGCGAGATCATGACCTAAGCGAAAGTCGGACGCTTAACCGACTAAGCCACCCAGGCGCCCCTTAAATACCCCATTTAATTCGGCAACGAATATTATGAATATTTTAAATTTTAAAATAAATATGTTTCTTATAGAAAATTGATGAAATGCAGAATTGTAGAAAGAGACTAAGTATAATCCACATTCTTTTATGTTTACTTTTTTTGTTTAGGCTCATTTTGTTTGTAGGTTGTCATAATCCTTTTCCTCATTCAATATTCTGTATTGAACACTCCTATGTCAGGAAAAGTCTTTTAAAATGCAGTTTTTCTTTATCGTCCGTATTATTCTATGTCCCAGTTTCTTTAGTTTTATAAAGTAACAGATTTGAGCTAGTTGGTTCCAAAGACTCAAAACCCGTGATAGTTTTTTTTTTTCTAAAGTGATTATCTCAGACTGTATCAAGGGAAAAAATTCCACATGACAATTCCAAATCTGTTTGGAATAATATTTAAAATAAAGTGAGAATAAATTAAGAACAAGGTGGGGGGGCACTGGGGTGGCTCAGTCAGTTGATTGTCCGCCTCTTGATTTTGGCCCAGGTCACAATCCCAGGGTTGTAGAGTCAAGTCCCATGTTGGGCTCTGTGCTGAGCTAGGAGCCTGCTTAGGATTCTCTCTCTACCTCTGCCCCTCTCCCCGACTCCAGTGCACATACTCTCTTAAAAAGAGCAAGGTGGACATATAAACCTTAATAGTTTGTGAATTCTACTTTAAGTTTTTTCTGCCTTTATGACTTGAATACTTGTATTTATTTTAAAATTTCAAGTGCCAAGACTTGAATTTTAATTTGTTGGAGATGTGAATGATATATGGGTCATTACTGTGTTGAAAGCTGGCCTGTTTTACCATGTCGGGTGGGTGTAGAATAGGTTGAAGAAGAAGTTGTACTTCTGTGTTTGAGATTCTGGGATTATCATAGTACAAAGGAGAGAAAATTTGTGGAAGCTCAGAAGTGTTCAGTAACTTGCCCAAAGTCCAAACAGCTACTAAGGTGCAGGGGTAGGTTTTGAATCCAGATTTCTCTGATTCTAATAGTGATGCTTTTCTTCCATTGCATGCTATATTTCAAAAGACGAAGATATCTTAGACACTTTTTTGAGAGTGAGTGGGCACACACAAGAAAGTGAAGGCGGGGAGAGGAAGTGGGAGAGAGAATCTCAAGCAGGCTCCAGGTTCAGGCCCCAGCGAGGAACCCGATGTGGGGCTCGATCTCATGACCTGATCCAAGATCAAGAGTTGGACGCTTAACTGACTGAGCCACCCAGGTGCCCCTCATAGACACGTTTTTTGATGGTATTGCTTTGATCCAAATGGACTAACTTGGTATCTTTGAATAAATTGGAAATGTTGAGCCAGCCCTTAGGAAAATGGTTTTTAGCTTGAGATAAACCAAACAGCACACCTTGCATGCCTTCTGCTTTGAGCTGAGCTCCAACATCGGTATGTTAATGGTGGCTGGCATGTAGCAAATAAGGGCCTGGTAAAAAATTGTTGACTGAATTCCTCTGCCTTGTTATAAAGAAATGTATTAGATGAAAAAGGAGAACTAAAACTTCTAAGGCCTTCCATATAATTTGAAATGAAGGACTTTTTTGTGCTCTGAGAAATTAACCAACACAGTTGATAATTGTATTCACCATAAGAATTTGAGGCCAAACTTACGAGGTATGCTTTATGTTGCTGAGAATATACTTAATAGTAGGTTGTCTTTTGTGCGATAAAAGCATGTTTTATTTATTTATTTTTCAAAGTTTATTTATTTTGAGAGAAAGAGAGTGTGAGCGGGAGAGGAGCAGAGAGAGAGGGAGAGAG